ATCCTAACACTTTGGGAAGCTGAGGTAGGAAGGTCACCTGAGGTCAGGAGTTTGAGACCAGTCTGGTTAATACAACAAAACTGTTTCTACTAAAAATACAAAAATTAGCCAGGCATGTGGCGGGTGCCTGTAATCCCAGCTACTCAGGAGGCTGAGGCAGGAGAATCACTTGAACTTGGGAGACGGGAGGTTGCAGTGAGCTGAGATCACGCCACTGCACTCCAGCCTGGGCGACAAAGCAAGACTCCGTCTCAAAAAAAAAAAAAGAAGTACCTGAATAAATGTTTTTTTTTTTTCCTATTAGTTCCTCCCTCTCTCTTTCTAGCTGCCTGAAATTCTCATTTTTCATTGTAAAGAAGTAACCATTTACAAGATATAAATGGAAATGCTCCTTTCAAGTTTCCCACATAAAGTATCATAAATCCCTGACTTTTCCTTCCACACACATTTTTCTTATTCAAAGCACTGCAACAGCTTCATATGATTTATCCATCCCTTTACTTAGTGAGAAAGGAACCAAGGTTATTACCAAGTTATTAAGTTGCAAATCCAGGACTCCCACCCACAGAGGAGGGACACAGGAATCATTGGCTTGAATAGTGATTACTATATATTCTAGGTTTGATCTTGAATCTCCATGTCTTAAGAATTCCTCTTCCCAGCCTAGGCAATACAGTAAGACCCTATTTCAACAACAACAAAAAGTTACAATTAGCTTCTCATGGTGACACATGCCTGTGGTCCTAGCTACTCCGAAGGCTGAGTAGGAGGATCGCTTTAGCCCAGATCGAGGCTGCACTGAGCAGCAATCATGCCACCGTACTCCAACTTGGGTAACAAAGGGAGACTCTCAAAAAAACAAGAATTCCTCTTCCCCAATTCCAGCTTGTCTTAACAAGCCAAGAAATTAACATATGTTTGTTGTTTAAGTCATTCTTAAGGTTCCTCCAACTTTGAGATTCCGGGATTGTAAAATCTCTGAGGAACCAGACAACTATTTACTGTCCCTTATATGTTATCTAACACATCTTTTTATTTCAGGGTTTTTGCTTCAGTAATCTTTAAAAATTAACATGAGCATTTTCTCAAAGTGGGTATTCATATTATAACTAAGTACTGCCATACAATTTTGGTGCCCAAGTTTATGATTTGTATGTGTACAATATCAATAAAATAGAAAATAGCAGGATGCATTAAGATACACAACTGAATTCAAAAGAATCTGTACTAGAGTACTCAGTATCTTATCAAGTGTATTGTGGGGATCTCATCTTTAACACAGCAATGTACCATGTACATTAGCTACAGGTGTAAGGACAAACATGCAATTAAACATTCCTGTTCCCAATTCCTTACTTAACAGATTTCCAAAACTGCAATGTAAATCTTTTTTAAAAATTAGTTTCACTAAGATATAATTCACATACCACACTACTGACTCATTTTAAGAGTACAATTAAAATATCTTTAGTTTATTCAGAGTTGTGCAACCAAAACCACAATCAATTTTACATTTCATCACCCCACAAGGAAATCCTGTGCCCATTCCCAGTCACTTCCCACTTCTAATGTGTTTACTATGAGCTTAAAGGCTTCCACACAAGCTTCCCAGTAAGCACCTGGTAGGTACGAAATAAATATTTGTATAATGAATGAATGACACTACAAATTATAACTACGTTTTTCTCTAGTCCTCTCTTCTGAACTCCAAACCTTCATTTCTAACTGCTTGCTAGGTATCTCCACGTGTATATCCAATAGCAACTCAAACCTAACAATGTCCAAAATCCAGATTATCTTACCAAACCTGTTCTTCTTCTTGTATTATCTGTTTCAATGATCGCCCAATCTTCCTCCCACTCAGTTGCAAATTCTAGGTCTTTAAATCTCTCTCATTCTCCATTTTTAAATAATTCTCGTGATTCTCTGTTCCCTATGTAATGCCCTGTTTGGGTTTCTTAGTAACTTCCTACTATACTATTAACACTGACTTCTTTTTTTTTTTGAGACGGAGTTCGCTCTTGTTACCCAGGATGGAGTGCAATGGAGCGATCTCGGCTCACCGCAACCTCCGCCTCCTGGGTTCAGGTAATTCTGCCTCAGCCTCCTGAGTAGCTGGGATTACAGACACGCGCCACTGTGCCCAGCTAATTTTTTGTATTTTTAGTAGAGACGGGGTTTCACCATGTTGGCCAGGATGGTCTCTATCTCTTGACCTCATGATCCACCCGCCTCGGCCTCCCAAAGTGCTGGGATTACAGGCGTGAGCCACCGCGCCCGGCCCCTAAAACTGACTTCTAACTAGTCACCGGCCTTTAAAACTCCCCTTTCCAACGATCTTTTATGCACCCATTCAAGTTATCTTTCCAAAACACAGAAATACTTGTCATTCCTATTCAAAGTTCAGTGCCTCGGAATAATTGTCATAACCCTAAGGGTAATCCCCTTTGTTCATACAGAAAAACTCCCCAAAGTTAGAGATTAAGTCACTTGCCAAAAATTAGACATCTATTTAGATGCAAAACGTAAAAAACTACCACTTGAAACTTCTGACTGTTACTTTAGTTGTCTTTTACTCTGCACCACACTAAGATAACACAAAGTGCAATTTCTCACTTCCTAACAAAATGCCCTTTATTTCCAAATGTTTCTTTTATTGCAAATATGCTGCGTTGACCTTTGTGCCAACCTAAGTACTAATTCTTAAGTCCCAAGTTAACAATATTTAACTTCCAAATGGTGCCTAAATGCATTTCCAAGCCTCATGAGCACGTGAGATAAACTTTTAATAAGTTGGATTATCTTGAGAAACTTCAGAAGATAAATTTGACGCGAAATGCATAAAGGCTGCAAACACTCACAACCCACACACTCTCCCCTATTCCCCCAATTGACAAGCAAAGGAGAAACCGGCAGCCCAGCCCAGCCCAGCCAAGTAGGTAGCTGTCCCTCTTCCAGACCCAGAAAGTAAGTGGTAGGAGAGGACAGCTCTGGGCTGAAACATTCAGGGGAGGGCCTCCTGGCATCCTCTACTCTCAACCACAAAGGCCTTAGTAATAAGGCCCTAAGGTCCGTAGGCAGGCCCCGGCTGCGGATGTAGTCCGAGTCCCCGCCCCGGGGACTCGCTGACGCCGGCTTTCTCAGGACATACGGTTCCCAGGTCCCTGCCCCCAAAACCAAGCAAAGGAACTGGAACATCGCCCCTAAAAACATGCAAGGGGAAGGGCCGAAGCCGCAGGGCTTCAGACTGGCCGCTCCCGAGCCCGCCAGATCCAGGAAGGATGCCCAAAGAAGGCGGTTTCCCCATCCTCTCCCGGGGCGAACTCGACCCCAGCCCCCAAGTAGCCGGTACTGGCTCCCGACCTCAAGGGTAGTACCTAGCGGAGCAGGTGGGGCCAGGCCCACCTCGGAGCTCACCTTCTAGTTCCGGGCAGCCAGCAGGCCGTCAGTCGGTCCCGAATTCCGTCCACACACAGCGTCTTCCGGCTCCCGCCGGAAGCAGCTCGAGCGCGGGACAGGAAGTTTGGCCGGCCCCCCACGCACACACCCACTCTCTCGCCGCCGGGTTGGGCGGCAGCCGCACCGCACCGCTCCTGGCCACGACGTCAAGGCTGCTCCCTGCCCAGGCTCACGACATCCGGCTCAGCCCCGGACAGGAGGAGCCTCAGCCTCCCCCATCCCACTCATTCACTCTCGGCCTTCGGGGCTTCTAGGTCTCCGAAGCCCGAAAAAACAGGTCAGCTAATTCTGTGACGTCACTGCCTCCCCGCCGTAGCGGAGGGAGTAGTTTTTCCCATCAGCGGAGGCTTTGCAATGGATGCAAACCAGAAAGAAAAGATCACTACTTAAACATTTATCAGAGGTCTCCATGGAGAGGACCTCGAAGTTTCACCGCTCGAGAAAGGAACTTGCAGAATCAAGTTTTGCATTATATACGTGACGGGCTATGCAGAGTCTGGGTTCCGTGTTGTAATTAGGGTGTAAAGAGCTCCTGGATGTCACAACTAGGGGCTTGAACACTTGACTTCCAGGAAGCCACTGCTTGTTAAAACTTTATGAGTTTGAGTGACTTCTTTAAATTACTTAGATTTAAATATTTGCGTGCGGAAGAATGAGAGACTCAACTAATGTTGCGGCCATGGGAATTAAAGGAGTTCTCTTTAAAAAAGCATTTCTAGCCGGGTATGGTGGCACATGCCTGTAATCCCAGCAACTCGGGAGACTGAGGCAGGAGAATCGCTTGAACCCGAGAGGCGGAGGTTGCGGTGAGCCCAGATCACACCATTGCACTTCAGCCTGGGCAACAAGAGCGGAACTCCGTCTCAAAAAAAAAAAAAAGAAAGAAAGAATTTTCAAGGTTAAAGATAAGCCTTGATGACAAGTTTGGGTACACAAATTACTAACGGTGATTTAAAATAAAGGAGAAATTTTCAGAGGAAGATAAATCCTCTTTAGAAAAGCAGAGTAGGCCAGGCGCGGTGGCTCACACCTGTAATCCCAGCAGTTTGGGAGGCTGAGGCGGGCGGATCACTTCAGGTTGGGGACCATCCTGGCTAAGACGGTGAAACCCGGTCTCTACTAAAAATACAAAAAATTTAGCCAGGCGTGGTGGCACGCTCTACTAAATATACAAAAAAATACCAGGCCTGGTAGCACACGCTTCTAATCCTAGCTACCTGGGAGGCTTAGGCAGGAGAATCGCTTGAACACAGGAAACGCAGGTTCCAGTGAGCTGAGATCGCACCACTGCACTCGAGCCTGGGCTACAGAGCGAGACCCTCTCAAAAACAAAAAAGCACTGTGTAAGGTACCAGTCCAGAGTTGAGGATATTTACTTGGAGGTTGCAGGTGAAGGTCCAGTGCTCAAGAAAGAGGTCAGAAATACAGATGGAGATTTGGGAGTTAGTTAACAAATACAGAGAAAAGATGAAACCCCCTCAGGAGATGAAATGGTCCAGGAAAAGTAACAAGAAAGGGCCGCTCAAGTAAACTGGAGAGGCTGATTACCAACACAGTTTTAATCCACTTATTACAAATGTTGCATACAAAGTTACATTGGCAGGGTGTAGACAATCGTAAGCCAAAACATTCAGGAAAAACCTTCAGTTTTACTGTTCTGCGAGGATTGATTACAATTAATGAAACAAACTCTTATTGAGGTACATCAGAAGGTTCTAAATATTCATGTTTACAAACATTTGTTAATTTGCCCAGTCCTGTCATTTTCTGAAGCTGTCTTTGTTGTCAATCTGTTTTTGTTTTTTGAGACGGAGTTTCACTCCTGTTGTCCAGTCTAGAGTGCAGTGGCCCAATCTTCACCTAATTGCAACCTCCGCCTCCCAGGTTCAAACGATTCTCCAGCCCTAGCCTCCTGAGTAGCTGGGATTACAGGTGCCCACCACCACACCCAGCTAATTTTTGTATTTTTAGAGACAGGGTTTCACCATGTTGGCCAGGCTGGTCTCCAACTCCTGACCTCAAGTGATCCACCTGCCTCTGCCTCCCAAAGTGCTAGGATTTGAGGCATGAGCCATGGCACTGGCCATCAATCTTTTTAATCACCTAATACTCCAAGTGATGTTTACATCTATTTGTACTCTCAATCTTTAAAACTATTTGACAGTATGTGCCTACTAACATAAAATAAACATATATTTTTCGCAATATATATTGAGTTTTTCGGCTATAAATTATTTGGCAAAATACAAAGAGATCATCCTCTGGAGTAAATCTATCAACTTAACCAACCTCAGTTATTTATCTTCCCATACTACTCCCAACCCAAAGCCGCTGGTCTCCTATCCCAAAAACTTCCACAAGTCTGAAACCCCCAATCCTGCTCCCAGTCCCTATGTACACGTCATACTATTAAGCCTTTTCTGTCTACAATGTGAAGAAAAGGCCATCTCAATTCTATTCTTACACCAAGTTTCAATTTAAGAATCATGTAAAACATTTCTAGTTCAACAAATCTTTACTGAGTGCTTCACAAGCATTCTCATTCTATTTTTAAGGCAATCTATTTTAATAAAAGTTATTACTAAACATTAATTTTAAAAAACTTACTGTGTAAGAGTCATTCATGGTTGTATCAGATCATGTAAAACGTTTCTAGTTTAACAAATCTTTACCAAAGTGCCTCTTAAACATTCTATTTTTAAAAAATTTATTAATTTTTAAAAACATGTGGCCAGGCAGCAGTTGTGTTGGCTGGTGAGGCCAGGAGGGCTGAGCCGCCACGGTGGGGCGAACCTACCGGAAAGTTCCTCTCAGTTTTTTCTGGTGCGCCTCCGCTCGCCCCTGCGGGGGCCTTAAGGGCGGATTCAAGGCCCTGCGAGAAGCCATCTAAGGCGGCGGCAACTGTTTTCAGTACCACAGGAACGGCGCGGATGCAGCGTTCCTCTCCCGGACAGGAAAACAGCCATTCTAGGAAACTTCATAGATTTAATTAGTAATGTTAAGATTGCCCGAAAAAGGAATGCCTAGACTCATCAAGTTCAAGATGAAGAAACTGTGCTGGAAAATTTAGCAATACAAAGAAATGCATCTGCTTTTTTTGAAAAATATGATCGGAGTGAAATACAAGGTTTGACTGATATTACAAAGGATCCAGACTTTAATGGAATCTATGATGAAGACATAAATGAAGATCCAACATATGATCCCAGTAGCCCTGAATAAACAGCTGTATTTATGAAATATGCTGAAAATATTATGCTAAAGTTAACATTCAGTACCACACAAGTTCAACAGTATGAAAATGTCTTTATATTTGAAACAGACTATTGGCTTACTAATGCTATAAGATATAATCAAGATTATCTTGATACTTATACCTACCAGAGACTACAGCAAAGATTATATGTTCAAAAAAAGATTATTCAAAAACACTTTGAGAAGAAAGAAGATATCAGAAGAGGGATAGGATACCTAAAGTTAATATGTTTTCTGATTCCATTTCTACTGAATTTAAAGAAGAAAATGAAAATTCGATATTTAGTCTACTTCAGCCTTTTACAGATGACAAGGTCAAGACAGAGTGAGAATTGCCTCCATTTATTTATGGAAGAGATTTTAAATGCCAGAATTTTCACTACAAAGAGAATCAATATTTTCAGGAATTGAATTTGATATCAGCACCCCTTCAATTGAAAATGCTTTGGAAGATTTTCAGGTTTAAATGATCATTCCTTAGACAGTTTGTCATTTCACAACTCTTTTATCCTATTCTCCAACCAAAAAGAGCCTTTGTTGATAGAGGCACTAGACAGCTCTCCAAATGACTATTCTTACAACTCACTCACTCATTCATGTATTATTTTAACATAAATGAATTAAGTACAGTTATATGTAACGTACTGTGTTGGATATCTGAGATAAAATTATAAATAAGCTAGGTACAGCTATCATCCTCACAGAATTTACAGACTTCTAATGGACCATATTTGCCCTAGAGTAGGTAACCAAAGAGTGCGGTAGAAATCTCTAGACACGAGGAACGATCCAAGAGGGCCGATCGATAACAGCTTGGGATTGCAGCTCTCAGTCAAAGCGCAGAGAACTAGAGGATGCCACACTTTCAGACAAATTCTGGTCGCTCACGGAGCAGAAGATCCCCAGTGGAGAAACCACACGGTCGCCAGCACGACTCTTGTGGCCGGTGCAGCGGTTTCGCCAGCACCTCGGCGCAGCAGCTCTCGGAGCAGAGTAAACAGGGCCGGCTCCCCTTCTGACCGAGGCTTGGAGGACCCACACGGGTCCCCAGCACGACTCCTGAGACCGGTGCAGCAGCTGTGATGGCATCTCAGAGCGGCAGCTCTCAGCGCAGAGTAAAGGAGACTGGTTCCCCTTCTGACCGAGGTTTGGAGTCCCGGGAAGGCAGAGTCGCCCATTACAGACACAAGAAGGAAGCCAGGCAGGAGAATCCTGGGCAGAAAAGCACCATCAGTCTTAACGCCGCCGTTCTGGCCCTGGGAACTAACAACTTGAACGTACAATCAAGAGACCTAATCTGAAAGTTGGTAATTTCAAAGTGGACAGGAGGATAAATTTACAATGATGGGAAGAAACCAGCGTAAAAAGGCTGAGAATACTCAAAGTCAGAATGCCTCTTCCTCTAAAGATGATCACAGTTCCACATCAACAATGGAACAAGGCTTGATGGAGAACGAGTGCATCCCAATGACAGAATCACTCTTCAAGGAATGGATAATAAGAAACTTTGGTGAGTTAAAAGAACATGTTGTAGCCCAATGTAAAGAAACTAGGAACTTTGAAAAAAGGTTTGACGAAATCCTATTGAGAATAGACAACTTAGAGGAATATAAGTGAATTAATGGAACTGAAGAATACAATACAGGAACTCCGAGAAGCATGCACGGGTTTAAACACTCGAATTGTTCAAGCAGAAGAAAGGATAACAGAGGTCAAAGTCCAACTTAATGAAAGAAAACAAAAAGACAAGATTAGAGAACAAAGGATAAAAAGGAATGAGCAAAGTCTCCAAGAAATGTGGCACTATGTGAAAAGACCAAATTTACGTTTGATAGGTGTACCTGAATGTGACGTAGAGAATGAATCCAAGCTGGAAAATACCCTTCAGGATATTATTCAGGAAAACTTTCCTGAACTAGCAAAGCAGGTCAATATTCAACCCCAGGTAATACAGAGAACACCACAAAGATATTCCTCAAGAGCAACCCCAAGGCACATAATCGTTAGATTCACCAGGGTTGAAACGAAGGAGAAAATACTAAGGGCAGCCAGAGAGAAAGGTCAGGTTACCCACAAAGGCAAGCCTATCAGACTTACAGCAGATCTCTCAGCAGAAACTCTACAAGCCAGAAGAGAGTGGGGGCCAATATTCAACATCCTCAAAGAACAGAACCTTCAGCCCAGAATTTCATATCCAGCCAAACTAAGCTTCACAACTGAAGGAAAAATAAAATCTTTTATGAACAAGCAAGTACTCAGAGATTTTACTACCACCAGGCCTGCTTTACAAGAGCTTCTGAAAGAGGCATTACACACAGAAAGAAACAACCAGTATTAGCCTTACTAAAAATATACCAAAAAGTCAAGAGTACCAACATAAAGAATTTTCATCAACGAATGGATCAAACAGCCAGTTAACATCAAATGGCAGTAACCCTAAATTTAAATTGACTAAATCCCCCAATCAAAAGACACAGCCAAAACCCAATGGCATGTTACATCCAGACCTGTTTCACATGCAAGGATACACAAAGACTCAAAACAAAGGGACGGAGAAAGATTTAACAACCAAATGGAGAGCAAAAATAAATAAATAAAAAGCAGGAGTTGCAATTCTCGTAGTGGATAAAAGAGATTTTAAAGCAACAAAGGTATAGTGGTAAAAGGATCAATGCAACAACAAGAGCTAACAATCCTAACACCCAGATACATAGAGACTTAGATTCAATGAGACAGAAAATTAATAAGGATATCAAGGACTCGAACTCAGATCCGGAACAAGTAAACTTAATAAATACTTATAGAGCTCTCCACTTCAAATACATAAAATATACATTCTTGTCAATACCACTTCACACCTACTCATAGGTTTAAATGAAACATTGATTGGCCATTATTAATACCCATTTTTTTTTTTCAGAATAAAGCAATATTTCCGTTCACCCTCCCTCTCTCTCTTCCTTTCTTTCTCTCCTTTACTCTTTTTTTTTTTCTTTCCTTCTCCCAAAAAAAGAGATCAACTTGTAAACCTCTAGATCCAGGTCGGCAACGTCTCTCTCACTGCTTGAATTCCTTCCTTCCCTTCCCTCCCTCCCTTCCTCCCTTCCTTCCTCCCTCTCTTCCTCCTGCCCTCCCTTCCTGCCTTCCTCCCTTCCTCTTTCCCTCCCTAAAAGAAAAAAAGAAATCTCTAGACACTCATTCTTCCATTTTTTCTCAAAGAATTAGGATTAGAACAGAGATCCTCTAAAGTTATAGAACAGTAATTCTTCACCTGGAATTTAGTGTAAACATTCTACTTTTCAACTGTTATTGCTTTTCCACCTTCTGTATACTGTATGTCTTCCCTTTTGTATTTTTTTCCTCATTCTCAAAGTAAGGATTAGATACATGCAGCTGCTATCAGGGTCTTCTGGAATAGTAAATTTAAAATTTGTCATTTACATATATACCATTTCATACAAATAATTCTTATAATTGTTTAGATGTGTTTAAAGATATGTCTTTAATAACCTAACTCATATTTTTAAAAAATTTAGAAAATATACGAGATTGTGCTGCTAATACATTTATAGAAGATTCAGGATACAAAGAATATTACTCAATACCAGTCATGGAATTTTATGGAAAAAGGTAAGGAGTTTTCACTAATTACTGACACTAGCTACAATTTGTTGAAAGTTTGTGGTGAACAAAGAAAATAACAAAATGCAAAGGTTAATTTAAATGTTTACAGTGGTGATTCCAGAATAATAACCACCATGAATAACAGATTGACTCAATAAAGTATTAAATGTTATAGTTACTAAAAAAAAAAAAACAAAAACAAAAAACAAAAAAAAACATGTATGATTCATTAATGAGTATATCAAATCCCCTATGGCCACTAAAAATAACACCTATCATCACATTTAAATCAAGAGCTATGTATGTCCTAAGGATTTTTTAATGTATCTTTGAAAATATGCAAAATGGAAAAGAAATCTGTGATTGCCTTGATGACATTTACAGTGATTACAAAGAGATTTCTTCTGAAATGCAAACTATCTGCTTTCCAATGTTACCGCCTGTCATCATGGACTGGAATGCAGCTGGAAAAAGAGAAAGTAGGTTATCTGAAAAGATAAATGTCACTATCATACTTGTTTCCAGAAGGTACAACATATAAAATTAGTTTCAATAACTTCAATTATTTTGAATATTAATCACAGAAGAAAACTGTCATGAAAAGAAATCTCAAGTAAAAAGTTATACACAAACTAACCCAATTAACATCTCAAAGAACTTTTGCCTATACTGGAAATATTTAATTGGTATCTAATTGGTATGTACGTCAATGATTATTCTTTACAGTGTCTGAAGACTAGAGCTAAAAAAAAATATGGAAATAAAAGGTCAGTGAAGGGCGAGCATGGTGCCTCATGACTGCAATCGCAGCACTCTGGGAAGCCAAAGTGGGCAAATACTTGAGGTCAGGAGTTTGTGACCAGCCTGGCCCATGTGGTGAAACCCCATCTCTAATAAAAATACAAAAATCAGCCAGGATTGGTGGTGTGTGCCTGTAGTCCCAGCAACTTTGGGGGCTGAGGTGGGAGCATCGCCTGAGCCTGGGAGGTGGAGGCTGCAGTGAGCCACGATTGCACCACTGCACTCTAGCCCGGGTGACAAAGCATGACTCTGTCTCAAAAATTAAAAAAAAAGGGCCAGGCACTGACATCTGTAAATTCCAGCATTTTGGGAGGCTGAGGCAGGAGGATCACTTGAGGCCAGGAGTTTCCTGGGCAAGAAAACAGGGCAAGACCCTGTTTTCTTTTTCCTTTTTTTGAGACAGAGTCTCACTCTGTCACCAGGCTAGAGTGCAGTGGTGCAATCTTGGCTCACTGCAACCTCTGCCTCCCAGGTCCAAGTGATTCTCCTGCCTCAGCCTCCCCAGTAGCTGGGACTATAGGCGCATGCCACCACTCCCAGCTAATTTTTTGTATTTTTAGTAGAGACGAGGTTTCTATAGAAAATTAAAAAAAAACAAACAAACAAAAAAAAAACACTGGCCATGGTGGCAGGTAATTGTAGTCCCAGCTACTTCGGTGAGAGGATTGCTTGATCCCAGGGGTTCATAAGTTACCGTCAGCTCCAGCCTGGGCAGTGGAACGAGACTCTCTCTTTTTTAAAAAAAAAAAGAAGAAAGAAAAGAAAAGAAAAACAAGTCCGGGCGCGGTGGCTCACGCCTGTAATCCCAGCACTTTGGGAGGCCGAGGCGAATGGATCACGAGGTCAAGAGATCGAGACCATCCTGATCAACATGGTGAAATCTCGTCTCTACTAAAAATACAAAAACAATTGGCTGGGCATGGTGGCACACGCCTGTAGTCCCAGCTACTTGGGAGGCTGAGGCAGGAGAACTGCTTGAACCCAGGAGGTTGTGGTGAGCCAAGATCGCACCATTGCACTCCAGCCTGGGTAACAAGAGCAAAACTCCGCCTCAAAAAAAAAAAAAAAAAAGAAAAGAAAAGAAAAAATGAGAAAACACCAGAGAGGTAATATTAAAAGATATAAGACTTTGGCCAGGCATGGTAGCTCATGCCTGTAATCCCAGCACTTTGAGAGGCTGAGGCAGGCAAATCACTTCAGTTCAGGAGTTCAGACTGCCTGGCCAATATGGTGAAATCCCATCTCTACTAAAAATATAAAAATAAACCAGGCACTGTAGTCCCAGCTATTTGGGAGGCTGAGGCAGGAGAATCAATTGATCTTGGGAGGTGAAGACTGCAGTGAGCCAAGATCACACCACTGCACGCCAGCCTAGGAGACAGAGCAAGACTCTGTCTCAAAAAAAAAAAAAAGAAGATAAAAGACTTTAGCAGGCAAGGTGGCTCGTGCCTGTAATCCCAGCACTTTGGGAGGCTGAGGTGGGTGGATCACGGGGTCAGGGGTTTGAGACCAGCCTAACCAACATGGTGAAACCTGTCTCTACTTAAAAATACAAAAATTAGCCGGGTGTGGTGGTGAGCACCTGTAATCCCAGCTACTTGGGAGGCTGAGGCAGGAGAATTGCTTGAACCCAGGAGGCAGAGGTTGCTGTGAGCCAAGAACGCATCGTTGCACTCCAGCCTGGGTGACAGAGTGAGACTCCGTCTCAAAAAAAATTTTTTTAATTAAAATAAAATTTAAAGAAAGACTTATCTTTTTGTGCTGAGCACATGAATATAATAAATAAGTTACATTCATCTTACCTCCCATGTTTTCCAATCCATTTATTACTGTCTCTTTAATCTGTAAATCAAAATAGCTAGATTTAATAGGCTTTGAACTTCAATGTTTCTATATAATAGTTTCCATACTTACAAAAGCCAGCAATACTATTTAACACTTTCCGTCTAAAAATAGATATTCTTTATTTCATGTAGGTGGCCCAGAAAAGTTTCCTATCAATTGATTTTTTTTTAAAGTAATATCCTATTTTCCCGTTATTTTAATCTCTTTAATCAGTAACAGATCACAAGCTATACACTCTCTTTAAAAAAAAGAAAGAAAGAAAAGAAAAGTACAGAAGCACACAAAGGTACAACCTTGCCTATCATTTGCGGGTTTCAAGAATAGCTTAGGCCAGTCTGGGTGCAGTGACTCATGGCTATAATCCCAGCACTTTGGGAGGCTGAGGTGGGTGGATCACTTGAGGTCAGGAGTTCAAGACCAGCCTGGCCAATATGGTGAAACCCCATCACTACTAAAAATACAAAAATTAGCTGAGCAAGTGGCACATGCCTGTAATTTCAGCTACTCGGCAGGCTGAGGCAGGAGAATCGCTTGAACCCAGGAGGTGGAGATTGCAGTGAGCTGAGATTGCACCACTGCACTCCAGCCTGGGTGACACAGCAAGACTCCATCTCAAAAAAATAAAATAGCCTAGACCAGTATGTCTGAACCCCAGATTAATAACTCCTGATTTTCAATCAACAATTAAGAGATATATTAGAATGTCCAGGGAAGAAGTATGGTGGTATAAGCATTGGGAGGTGCTTACGTGATTCTTGAGAAAGCACAGTTCTAACAGAGTAACATCCCATAAATATTTGTTAAATTAATAAACATAACAATTTTACATTTGGGTGAAAACCTATTGATTCTGTAATATAATCTATGGAAAGTAAGGCTAGAAAATTTTAGCTAAAGGGAATAATAAGTAAGGGTTTCTTAATCAGGAGGCTATACTCACATGGGAGGTACAGTTAATTTATAATATTCAATATACTTTTGTAGGAAGTTTTATAATGAAACTAATACGTTTGCTATAGTACATTTAAATAATTCAAAATTACATCAAGTAACAGGAAGAATTATATTGATAAAGAATAGAAGTTCTACCTTTAGCTTTCCTTCTTTAAACCACTGACTCAGCTGTAGAATGCTAGGCTCAAATTTGTCTTTATAATTTAACAACAGAAATCTTTCCCTGCAATGAGGAAGAAAAGGATAATGATTAGAGAATATAACAGGAGTGATATTCCAAGATCAAATCATTCCAGAATTCTAATATCTGTTCATCCTTAAAATATAAGGACTTAATCACATTGAGTCTGGTCAGATACAGGTTTGTTTTTTTTTTGAGATGGAGTCTTGCTCTCTCACCCAGGCTGAAGTGCAGTGGCACACTGCAACCTCTGTCTCCCAGGTCAAGCAATTCTCCTGCCTCAGCCTCTCGAGGAGCTGGGATTACAGGTGCCCGCCACACTCATTTTTGTATTTTTAGTAGAGCTGGGTTTCACCATGTTGGTCAGGCTGGTCTCCAACTCCTGACCTTGTGATCCAGCTGCCTCAGGCTCCCAAAGTGCTGGGATTACAGGTGTGAGTCTCCGTGCCCTTTTTTTTTTTTTGAGACAGAATTTTGCTCTGTTGCCCAGCCTTGAGTGCAGTGGCATGATCTTGGCTCAGCAACCTCCGCCTCCTGGGTTCAAGCAATTCTTCTGCCTCAGCTTCCTGAGTAGCTGGGACTACAGGCATGCACCACCACGCCCGGGTAATTTTTGTATTTTAGTAGAGACGGGATTTCACCATACTGGCCAGGCTGATCTGGAACTCCTGACCTCAGACGATCCACCCTCATTGACTTCCCAAAGTGCTGGGATTATAGGCATGAGCCACTTCGGCCAGCCTAAAGTTCTATTTAATAAAGAAAAAGTGGGCCAGGCGCAGTGGCTCAAGCCTGTAATCCCAGCACTTTCAGAGGCCGAGGCGGGTGGATCACGAGGTCAAGAGATTAAGACCATCCTGGTCAACATGGTGAAACCCCGTCTCTACTAAAAATACAAAAAAAATTAGCTGGGCATGGTGGCACGTGCCTGTAATCCCAGCTACTCAGGAGGCTGAGGCAGGAGAACTGCCTGAACCCAGGAGGCGGAGGTTGTGGTGAGTGGAGATCGCACCATTGCACTCCAGTCTGGGTAACAAGAGCGAAACTCCGTCTCAAAAAAAAAAAGTATCTATGAAGAACAATAGATTTGATACACATCTATGATATTTAAACCCCCTTGAACCTGGTAATAAGGGCAAAGGGGGAGAACACACCTTGTGATGTTTCTTTCTTTCTGGATTGCCTCTATAGCAGTGGATAGCGGGGGAGGATAAGGCACATCTTTGTTGTATTGAGAAATCTGACCACACAGGATGATGTGGCTGTTCTCATTCATCTGCATAGAGAAAACTGATGATAAAATATTCCTTTCTTACGTGTACTGATTTTATAGCTGCCACAATGAAAGCCTCCTTGACTATTTATTCATCCTTTTTTGTCAACTAATTCAATTTTTTTTAAGATTTACCTGTTAGAGGTACTTAAGAATTTTAAGTAGTTAGAAATAATTACATTCCAAAGGAACATATAGAGGCAAATAAATGTTTGGTAATCAGCAAAAGAATTACATCAGTTGTTGTTGCTACTTATTAGTGGTAGAACTGTATTTTTTTTTAGATTTAAATAATTTAATATCAACTGCAAATAATTTTACATGCAGCAAAGGACTATGTAGTGTTAATACCTCATGTTGATATTTTATAATATTGTTAGTAAATATACATAAATACATGCAGTCTATGAAACCCATTCTCTACACAAGGTCTGGGGCCATGGCTGTGAGTTGGTCAGTGGTGAGTTAGGTGTCAGAGCTTCATCATTTCAACAATGCAAACGAAATTTTTCACAAAAATAAACCAAAAGTGAAAAATACAATATTGGTAGCAAATAACTGAAATTGAAGTTTATAGTACAAATCTGCAAGTGAATGGAAGTAGATACCAGCAAGCTCCTTTATATCACTTAAATATAATACTGATCATCACATTATGTCACAATAATCCCTCCGATTTTATAAATTTTTTTTCTGTATTAGGTAAAAATATAGCATATAAAATGCAGTATTCAAATTTGTAATAGAAATCAGCAAACAACCTGACTTATCACTGTATCACTGATGTCACCGCCAACATTGTCAAAATAAACATCCACTCCAGCTGGGCATGATTCACGAAGTTGTTCTGCCACATTCTCTTTTTTATAATTAATTGCAGCATCAAAGCCCAGTTCTGAGGTCAAAAGGATGCATTTCTCACGTGTTCCACAAATTCCCACCACTCTGGAACAACCCAATAAATGGCCAATCTAAGGGGGAAATTTGAAAATTAAATGGCTTTCTTTTGTCACATCAAAATGTAAAAATGTAAAAGTATAAAAGATATTACAGGTATATGACAATGTTCATTATAATTTAGGTTAGATTAAGCTGCTTTTAATAAAAATTCATTTGAAATTAAAGAACTGAGGGCAGACGTCATCCTAAAAAAAAATTATTAAAATTGAATAAAGTTAGATTTATGTTCCTTAACATATGATGGGGATATATCCCAATAAACACATCATTAGTTGAAAATATCCAAAACAAAAAATGCATTTAATACATCTTTTTTTGTTTGTTTCTTTCTTCTTTTTTTTTTTTGGCATTTAATATCTCTAACCTACTGAACATCATAGCTTAGCCTAGCCTACCTAAAACATGCTTAGAACAGTTATGGCTGCGCAAAATCATCTGGCAACACAGTACACCATAGCGTACCACTCGTTAGCCTCATGACCACATCACTGACCAGGAGCTACAGCTTGTTGCTGCTGCCCAGCATCTTGAGAGAGTGTCATACTGATATCACTAGCCTGGGAAAAGACCAAAATTCAGCATTCAAAGTACGGCTTCTACTGAATGCATAGGACTTTTGTGTCATTGTAAAGTAGAACTATCATACATAAGTTGGGGACCATCTGTAGTTTAAATGTTAAAATATCACAATTTTTGGCTTGCACTCATTGAAAAATATAAAATCAAAGAAGAAATAATAATTAAATTTAAAAAATAAAATTTCGGCCAGGCACGGTGGCTCACGCCTATAATCCCAGCACTTTGGGAGCCCGAGGTATGCAGATCACCAGGTCAGGAGTTCAAGACCAGCCTGGCCAATATGGTGAAACCCTGTCTCTACTAAAAAAAAAAAAAAAAATACAAAAATTAGCTGGGCATGGTGGTGCATGCCTGTAATCCCAGTTACTCGAGAGGCTGAGGCAGGAGAATCACTTGACCCCAGGTGGCAGAGGTTGCAGTGAGCTGAGATCACGCCACTGTACTCCAGCCTGGGCAACAGAATGAGACTCCATCTAAAAAAAAATAAAAATAAAAACAAAATTTAACAATTTAAATCTGCTTTCATAAAAGGAATAATCAGATCCAAAACATCAGACAAAATTCATTATTTTTCAAACTTGTGATGAACTAAAATCACAGCTCAGACACAATGTTTGTTTTTAATGGTTTCACATTATAAAGGCTATTACTTATAAAAGGATGTACTTTTATAAGATTTTTTTTTTTCTTTTAAAGAGACAGGGTCTCACTCTGTCACCCAGGCTGGAGTACAGTGGCTCAATCATAGCTCACTGTAACTTCGAATTCTTGGGCTCAAGTACTCTTTCTTCCTGCCTCAGCCTCTCAAGTAGGTAGGACAACAGGCATGCCACCGTGCTGGGCTAATTTATTTACTATAGAGTCTTACTATGCTGCCTAGGCGGGTCTTGAGCTCCCTCCTCAAGTAATCCTGCCACCCTGGCCTCCCAAAGCACTGGGATGGCAGGCATGAGCCACTGTGCCAGGCTCACTTCATAAAATTCTATCAAAATGTTTACATTTCTAGAATTCAATAAGTGCTTTCTTATTTGAGTATATTAATTTAAAATGTGAGTTTGACTTTTAATTCATGGAATTCCAAACAGCTTCTCTCTCATTGTTTTCCTTAAAATAATGAAAGCAAAGCTTTAGCATTTACTACATCTATTTTTGGTTAACAGAGGATAAGACACTAAAATCTACATTTTTCATACTGTTACTAAGAGAGTCTATGTGGGTGAAAACACCATTTATACAAGAAATGTGTGAAGTCATTATAAATTTATTCAATTTTGGCCGGGCATGGTAGCTCATGCCTATAATCCCAGCACTTTGGGAGCCTGAAGCAGGTGATCTCTTGAGGCCAGGAGTTTGAGACCAGCCTGGCCAACATGGCAAAACCCCATCTCTACTAAAAATACAAAAATTAGCCAGGTGTAGCAGTGCACACCTGTAGTCCCAGCTACTCTTGAGGCTGAGGCATGAAAAAAAAAATTATCCAATTTTATATTTTAAATGATATACATATATGTGGAATTTCAATTATGAATTATAATAATCCTCAAACAATCAGAAAATCAAATAATTTTCAGAAACTTTACCTGTCCAGCCAAGGATCCACAGGCACCTGCAGCCCCACTGACAACCATTGTCTGATTAGATCCAGCAGTTATATGACCTTTCTCCTGTATTCCAATCAAGGAAGTCAAACCAGGCATACCTATAGCTCCAAGAAAATACGAAAGGTGTCCATCTACAAGTTGTGGGTCTACCTAAAATAAAAATATATACCCTTTTAGAATAATACTAGGAATTCCTGTTTTGAGACGACAAAGTAGAGACAATGTGTATGAACTGAATTGTGTCCCACACAAAATTTATATAGTAGAGCCCTAAGCCCCAGTGTGACTTTATTTGGAGATGGGGACACAGCAAGAATGTGGTCATCTGCAATCCAGGAGGAAAGGCCTCACCAGAAACCAAATTTTCCAGAACTCTGATCTTGGACTTCTAGCTTCCAGAACTGTGAGAAAATAAATTTCTGGTTTTTTTTTTTTTTTTTTGAGACGGAGTTTCACTGTTGTTACCCAGACTGGAGTGCAATGGCACGATCTCGGCTCACCACAACCTCTGCCTCCTGGGTTCAAGCAATTCTCCTGCCTCAGCCTCCCAAGTAGCTGGGACTACAGGCGCGCACCACCATGCCCAGCTAATTTTTGTATTTTCAGTAGAGACGGGGCTTCACCTTGTTTACCAGGATGGTCTTAATCTCTTGACCTCGTGATCCACCCGCCTCAGCCTCCCAAAGTGCTGGGATTATAGGCGTGAGCCACCGCACTGGCCTCAATTTCTGTTGTTTAAACCACCCAGCCTGTAGTATTTTGTTATGGCAGTCTGTCCGTCAGTATAATAAACAACCCAATATGGTTTCTAGAAGAGTAAACCATTCATCAATCTTGCTAAAATTCTAAAATGTATTTGTAAAGAGTAAAAAACTATATTACTTCTCTTTATATTAAAAAGAAACTTAAAAAAAAATTCCCACATAAGAGACCAAATATTCTTTCTCGTTAATGCCCCACTATGAAAAAAAAAAAAGGAAATGCTTAATGCAAAAATACTTGGCAACATTAATTTTTAAGTCTCTGAGCAATTCCAACGTAAACATTTACCTATAAAAATCAACTCAGGCCAGGCGAGGTGGCTCATGCCTGTAATCCCAGCACTTTGGGAGGCTGAGGCAGGTAGATCATAAGGTCAGAAGTTCAAGACCAGCCTGGCCAAGATGCTGAAACCCCATCTCTACTAAAAATACAAAAAGTAGCCAGGAGTGGTAATGGGAGCCTGTAATCCCAGCTACTCGAGAGGGTGAGGCAGGAGAATTGCTTGAATCCAGATAGCAGAGTTTACAGTGAACTGAGACTGCACCACTGCACTCCAGCCTGGGTGACAGAGCCATACTCTGTCACAAAAAAAAGGGACAAAAAGAAAAAGAAAAAAAAATCAACTCAAACTCCAACAGTTCTCATTACTGATGCTTAAAATGTACCATAAAGGCTGGGCACAGTGGTTCACACCTGTAATCCCAGCATTTTGTGGGACTGAGGCAGAAGGATCAGTTGAGGCCAGGAGTTCAAGACCAGCTAGGGCAACATGATGAGACTCTGTTTCTATAAAAAGTTTAATAAAAATGGCTGGGCGCAGTGATTCATGCCTATAATCCCAGCACTTTGTGAGGCAAAGGCAGACAGATCACTTAAGGTCAGGAGTTTGAGACTAGCCTGGCTAACATGGCAAAACCTTTTCTCTACTAAAAATACAAAAAATTAGCTGGGCGTGGTGGTGTATGTTTACCTGTAATCCCAGCTACTCAGGAGACTGAGGTGAGAGGATGGCTTGAACCGAGGAGGCCAGAAGTTGCAGTGAGCCAAGATCACTCCATTGCACCCCAGTTTGGGTGACAAAGTGAGATGCTGCCTCAAAAAATAAAAAATAAAAATAAAATAAAAGTCATTAGCAGACCCAGCCAGGCTATGCCTATTCTTTTGGAGGCTGCTCTGAAACAACTTTTATTATGTGAGCGACTTTCTCTACAATAAGATAACCTTTGTTCACCATGCCACTCCTACCCTTTCCCTTCTTGTCGTCATTTCCCCCAAAAACCTCAAGCCCCATTCCTTTACACTATAAAAACTTCAGTCAGACGCAGTGGCTCACGTCTGTAATCTCTGCACTTTGGGAGGCTGTGGTGGGAGGATCATTTGAGCCTAGGAGTTTGAGACCAGCCAAGGCAACATAGTGAGACCTCATCTCTAAAATAAACAAGCACAGATACAAACAAAAAAAACCCTTCAACCATCAGGCCTCTCCTTTAAGTCTCCCATTCTGTGAGGCTCCAGTGCACATGCATGAATTAAAATGCTTTTTCTCCCCTGCTTCGTGAAACCTATGGCTCAAGTTTAAAAAACAAAAAAAGTAAAGAAAAAATAATATTCACATCCACAATGCTTAAAAAAAATGAAAAAGAAAAAAGATAAAACAATAAATAAAATGGTTTTTCTCTTGTTAATCTGTTTATTATCAGTTTAATAGGCTTAATTAACAAACCTTCAGAAGGAAAATTTAAACTTCCCTACACAGCAGTGGAAAAGGAACAAAGGCTTTCGGCATTTTAGCAGCTGGCTAAAAGAAAATATATGCTTTTATTTTTCTCTGATTACAAACACAACTGAGTATCAAATGCACAGAGTGAGAATTACACGGGGAAAAAAATCAGTTATTTTCATATATATATATATATATATATATATACACATCACCTTTTCAAGGCTATTTCCATCCAGAATAACCTTGCTCTGCCAGGGCCAATAGAAAGAAGTCACAAAATCGCCTTTAGTCAAATTTGTGTGTTTGCTTTCTTCTATAATTCCAATACCTCCACCATCAACCACTTGAGATAGCTGCCAAGGTGTTAAATAATCAGTGCCAGTGTCTTCATTCATTCTACAACGCTAAAAAAAAAGATATTGAGATAATTTTATCCAATATCAAACGACTCGAATTTACCCAGTGACTAAAAGTATATAATGAGTAGTGTATCACATACAATACACAAAAATCAATTCAAAATAGATTAAAGATTTAAACATAAGACCTGAAACAACATGGTGACTATAGTTAATGACAATGTATTCTATACTTGAAAACTGCCACTGGCCAGGCAAGGTGGCTCACACCTGTAATCCCAGCACTCTGGGAGGCCAAGGCGGGTGGATCACCTGAGGAATTCAAGACCAGCTTGCCCAACATGGTGAAACCCCATCTCTACAAAAATACAGAAATTACCTGGGCATGGTGGCAGGTGTCTGTAATCCTAGCTACTAGGGAGGCTGAGGTGGAAGAATTGCTTGAACCTGGGAGGTGGAGGTTGCAGTGAGCCGAGATTGCACCACTGCACTCCAGCCTGGGTGACAAAGTGAGAGCCCATCTCAAAAAAAAAAGAAAGAAACTTGCCAAAAGGATAAATTCTAAGTGTTCTCACCATGAACAATAAGTATATGATGTATTCATGTTAATTAGCATGTTAGCAGGATATAGCTACTACAAAATGTAAACACATTTCAAAATATCATGTTGTACATCATAAACATAGACAATTTTTTTTTGAGACGGAGTCTCGCCCAATTGTCCAGGCTGGAGTGCAGTTGTGCCATCTCAATTCACTGCAACCTCTGCCTCCTGGGTTCAAGCAATTCTTCTGCCTTAGTCTCCCCAGTAGCTGGGACTACAAGCATGTGCTACCATGCCTGGCTTATTTTTGTATTTTTAGTAGAGATGGGGTTTCACCAAATTGGCCAGGCTGGTTGTCTCGAACTCCTGACCTCATGATCCACCTACCTTGGCCTCCCAAAATGCTGGGATTACAGGCATGAGCCACCATGCATGGCAACAATTTTTGTCAATAAATTTGTTTTGTTTTGTTTTGTTTTGAGATGGAGTTTTGCTGTTGTTACCCAGACTGGAGTGCAATGGCAGGATCTCGGCTCACCACAACCTCCGCCTTCTGGGTTCAAGCAATTCTCCTGCCTCAGCCTCCTGAGTAGCCGGGACTACAGGCGTGCACCACTGTGCCCAGCTAATTTTTGTATTTTTAGTAGAGACGGGGTTTCACATTGTGGATCAGGATGGTCTCGATCTCTTGACCTCGTGATCCACCCGCCTCGGCCTCCCAAAGTGCTGGGATTATAGGCGTGAGCCACCGTGCCCGGCCAAATAAATTTGTTTTTAAATAAAAAATTTTAAATTTGTGGTGACAGTTGCAAAGCTCTGTGAATATTCGAAAGTGACTGAATTATACATTTGAATGCATGAAATGTATGCTAGTGAATAAAGCTAAAATTTTTACAGAATTACTTAAGGAAATTAAAGTAATATTATACACAATATACTAGCAAAAATAATACAAAATCCTTTTTGATGGTTTCAAGGGATTGTGGCCAATTAGGTACTCACACGTTGCTGATATAATACAACTATTTTTTATGGAAAACCAACTAGCAACATATAAGCCATAAATCTTGATTTCTTTTGGGCTAGCAATTCTGTCTCCCCATTAAAAATAACCCAGAACGATTCAAGATGGCCAATCGCTAATGTTTGGAAAACTCTGCCCCTACCGCGAAAGCTCTCTCTCTCTCTCTCTTTCCCTCCCCCACAAAGAGGCTCCCTTATCTCTCACTTTACATACCGGCCCTAGCCCTCCCACCGCCCAGCTTCCCGCCGCCCAGCTTCCCGCCCAGCAGTTCAAATTGACCAACAGTTGCCCACCACCTTGGCTTTTGGCTTCCCCACCCCCCAGCCCTTCAGCCCCCATAAAACAACCCTGCCCCTCTGAGCGGCGCTGCCATTCTCCTCTTCCTCCCGGCTGGTCCGCCCGGAGGCTCTTTCCTCTCAATAAAGCCTGAACTTAAGGAATTTCCTCTAGCCTGCGGTCCGGTTTTTTCCGAACGAGCTCAGTCTTCCCACAGAGGGTAGGTCGGACAAATGGTGCCGGAAACCCGGGAGCTGGGGCCGTTGGCCCGGCCACGGCCCCCCTCCCCGACCTACCCAACACTGGCCCTGCCACCTCCACGTTCGGATTAAGGTAAGCCAAGTTTTTCTTGCTTTGCCTTCCCCCGCTTCCCGTCTCCTCTTCCTACGGCAAGGTGCAGTTGCTCCCTCTCCGGCGTTCCGCACGGACTCCTTGCCTAGTCTCGGCCGAGCCAAGGTAGTCTTCCGTTCCGGCTCTAGGAGCCTTCCGAGGGACAGCCGCCAGACGGGGGACGCCCCTCTGACCGCTTCCCTTTCCGTACTTAATTGTACTCCCAGGAATTTGCAACGAACGGGGACGCCTTTTCGTTGCATCTGCCCATCCGCGCCGGAGGGTCTGTAGCTGCGCCTGCCATGGGAAATTCGGAGTCCAAAATACCTCTGAGCACCCCCCTCGGGTGCTTGCTGCAAAATTTTACCAAATTGGGATATTCCCAAACCCTCAGAAAGAAAAAGCTTATTTTCCTGTCCCAGGTGGCTTGGCCCCAATACAAACTCAGTAACCAGTCACATTGGCCCCCGACTGGCACTTTTGATTTCAACACCCTCCGAGATCTCGACGATTTTTGTCGCCGCGCGGGCAAAGACAATGAAATTCCTTACGTCCAGGCTTTTTGGGACCTCCATACCCACCCCGACCTATGTTCTTCCTGCTCCACCTACCAAATCCTCTTATCTCGAACCCCCCGTAAATCTTCCTCCACTACCTCTCCCCCTCCCTACTCCTCACTGGAGGATCTGCCTGAACATCTGTCCTCTCCTGCCAATCTCAGCAACCAGTCGCCATCAATGGCACGCCCTTCCCCCACTCCCTCTGCACCTCCTACCTCAGAGGCCATGCCTCGCTCTCCCTCTACTCCCTCCGAGCCCCCTCCCTCAGAGGCCGCACTTCCTCTTGCCTCTCCGGTGGCGGCCCACACCCGCTCCCACCAGCCAGCTATCCTGGCCCCACTCCGAGAAGTAGCAGGCGCAGAAGGTTTAATCAGGGTCCATGTTCCTTTCTCACTCCAAGACCTGTCCCAAATTGAGAAACGTTTAGGATCCTTCTCAGCCAACCCGTCCACCTATGTTAAAGAATTCCAATACCTCACTCAAACATAAGAAGCCCTAGTCCAGTACACTTGACTAGATCCAGCCTCCCAAAACGGGGCCACTGTATTAGCCTCCCATTTTATCTCCCAATCAGCACCCGACATAAGAAAGAAACTAAAGAAAGCAGAAGAGGGGCCAGAGACTCCCATCCAAGACCTGGTAAAAATGGCCTTTAAAGTATTCAATGCCAGGGAAGATGCGGCTGAGGCTGCCCGCCAAACTCGCATGAAGCAGAAGGCTGCCCTCCAGACCCAAGCCCTAGTGGCGGCTCTAAGGCCGGCAGGGAACCAGAAGCCCAAGGCCGAAACCCATGCCCCTCCAGGGGCATGTTTCAAATGTGGAAAGGAAGGACACTGGTCCCGAGCCTGTCCACAACCACGGCCACCAACTACGCCTTGCCCTATCTGTCGGCTCCCGGGACACTGGAAGTCAGACTGCCCCAGCTTCCCCAGGGTGCCGGTTCCTCAAAACAGACACACTGGCGTTACGCAGCCGGCGGTCACCCTCAGTAGGGAGGAGCCTGCTTGCCAGGAGCCGACCTCCGAGGGAGCTCCGTTCCCCAGTCTACTAGGGCTGCTAGATGACTAGCGGGGCCCTGGCTTTCCGACTCCGGTTACCCTCGCCGAACCTAGGGTCACAAGACATGGGGGCTACCTACTCCGCACTTCCTTCTTATTCTGGCCATCTCACCCCTTCCCAGGTCTTAGTCATGGGAATCGATGGGACCCCGAGTATCCCCTACCAAACCCCACCACTCATGTGCTCATATAACTCCACTCCATTCACCCACTCTTTTTTAGTAATCCCCACCTGCCCAGTTCCCCTTCTGGGGCGAGACATCCTTTCAAAGCTGAAGGCTGTCATAACCTTCCCCACCGCCAGCCCACACAGCCTTTTTCTCCTAGCCCTCAATACTCTGCCTCGGAACTCCAGCCCCTCCAGTCTACCCCCGGGGTACGGTTCAAGGATGACTGGACCTTCAGGCATAACCTCCTCATCCTCCCTGAAAAGCAAAGGTACCAGATAATCCAAGACATCCATAATTCACTCCACATTGGGCCTAAAGCCTTATACCAATTCCTCAACCCACTTTTTCACCCTCACCATCTCCTCAGTACCATACAGGAAGTCCAGTCCTCATGTACTGTCTGCGCGAAAACTAATTCCCAGGGTTCCTGTCATCCCCGGCGCCAGCTTCATCAGCTACGCGGGTTCCTACCTGGCCAAGACTGGCAAATTGATTTCACCCATATGCCAAAGCACAAACAGTACCGGTATCTGCTAACCATTGTTGACACTTTTTCAGGCTGGATTGAAGCTTACCCCACAGCCTCTGAGTCTGCTGGGACAGTAGCCACTCATCTCATTCAAGACATCATCCCACGCTTTGGACTCCCAGCCACAATACAGTCAGATAACGGCCCAGCCTTTATCTCCAAAGTCACTAATGCCGTTTCTACCTCTCTAGGAATTCAGTGGAAGCTACACGCCGCCTACCATCCTCAGTCCTCTGGTAAGGTGGAACGGGCCAATGGCCTAATAAAGGAGCATCTGACTAAGCTCATTCTTGAGCTCCGCCAATCCTGGGTAACCTTACTTCCTATCACCCTCACCAGGGTAAGAGCAGGCCCCCGGGGCCCATCACAGCTTAGCCCATTTGAGCTGCTGTATGGTTGCCCCTTCCTACTTTCAACTCCCCCACCGCCAGAGACTACTCCTCTAGACAGCTACCTCCCCTACTTTACTCTCCTTCGCAGCCTTCTCCAAGAACACGCCAATGCTTCTCTTCCCCAACCCACCCAGCCATCTGAAAATACACAGAAAGTCTCCC